CGAAAAGGCACTCCTTTGAAGGAATCAAGCAGCAGCCTACGTTTTTCAAGTTTATCTTTAGATGACGCTGGTTCATATAGATGCCGAGCAATAAATGACTTTGGTGCGATATACTCCAGTAAAGCAAATCTGAACGTGATTGCTGGTAAGATGTAAAATGGCGTTGTTGTTCGTGCGAAAATCTTCTAACATTGATTTTTGTCTAAAACTTTCACCAATGTGAGATTATGGGTTACTCTTGTCAAAAATGTAAATCAAAGATCTCTTCGAGATTCGACTATTTTGTATGGAGTATGCGTTGGGGAAATGTTAGTATTGAAAGCGATTTGCGATGCATTAACCCATTGACTCACAGTCCAGAAGGCTTTTATTAGCGCGCACCCATCCCCCAAAATGTTCCTGGCTCTTTTACGGCATTTAACACAAACGTGCGAGTGGGAAAAATATTCCTTTTCATTCTGTACAACTGTCACTGACATTTATTTAACCACCAGTGGTATTATCTTGGTACAGAACAGCGGTAATTGGGGATAATAATTTGCGAATCATGGTGCCGTGAGATAGCGGAAAACTACTGAATTCCCTCCACAAAATTAACACTCAGATTGCTTTTTATGCTATCCATCACTATAACTAATAACAAAAAAAATACTTGTTTGCATTTTCCGAAGTACNGATCAAGATTCTCGCAGCTCGCGACTTCGCCGCTCGCTTTACATAATTCATATTCATGTTTCCAAATCGCACGCTAGGAAAAGAAATAGACTGCTCGCAATCTAAGGTATCCTCCTCCTCTGTAGATAAAATAAATATAAAAAAAGAAAAGAAAAGGCCTAATCGCCTGACAGAACATTAACGTCATTAAGTTGCAGCCTAGACCCTGGGCGTTTTCCTCCTATCTCGGCCGCGCGCGAGGTTCACGTAAGGGCCTGGTAAGTTATGAATCAAAGATCTCTTCGAGATTCGCCTATTTTGCATAGAGTATGCGTTGGGGAAATGTTACTATTGAAAGCGATTTGCGATGCATTAACCCATTGACTCCCAGTTTAGAAGGCTTTTATTAGAGCGCGCCCATCCCCTCAAACATTCCTGGCTCTTTAACGGCATTTAACATAAACGTGCGAGTGGGAAAAAATATACCATATGCGTACTAAATTCAGACAAATAATTCCTTTCTGAAGTAAACTTTTATTACAACTAGACACGCTGAAAGACCAATTCATGATTTGAAATGTTAATTATCAACCTTGATAAATTGATCCCAAACCAAACTTGAAGACGGTGAAAAAAATTTCTTCACCTCCGCGCGTCATTTTAACAACTCGCAAAAACACGAACTCTTTCTACAAAATATAACGCTAGTTCGAAACACTCTGGTGAAAGGTAGGCTTTCATTCTGTACAACTGTCACTGACATTTATTTAACCACCAGTGGTATTATCTTGGTACAGAAAAGCGGTAACTGGGGATAATAATTTGCGAATCATGGTGCCGTGAGATAGCGGAAAACTACTGAATTCCTTCCACAAAATAAACACTCACATTGCTTTTTATGCTATCCATCACTATAACTAATAACAAAAAAAATACTTGTTTGCATTTTCCGAAGTAC